TTTGCCAATGTAAGAGAATGTATGATTTTTCGAGAATGACACATCTTTCTTAAATATGTAACAATCATCTCAAAAGCAGATTTTTAGGAAATTAGAACTTGTTTTTCCTGTATTAGGTTTGGCAGTTTGTTCTGACAACTTTTGAGTGGCATACAATTAAAAGTTACATTTATTGAGAGAATTTGACAACACCTTCGAATAGATGTGAAAAAGAATGGAAGGAGTAAGCAGGATATTTGAGGTTGAAAACTATAGGAATCGTTGAGCTCTCTGAAAACTACCAGAATGTGTTCTGCTTTCATAAATCTCGATAACCGTTACCCATTGTTGTGCATCATTTGCAAGGTTCACTGATTGGATAAAATTTTCAATCTTTAAAATGCAAAGGCGAACGCTTTATACAAATATTGATGTTTGCTGTTAATACCGACATCATGACTGGTTTAATATCTGCTTCGCGTCACGTGCTTTATGTATTGCATTGATGAGATACACACGTACAACCGTTAAAGCATTCATTTGAATTAGTTTAAGTGATTGATTGATAACAATTAACAGATCGAGTTAGCTTAGGCTTGTTTTAAATAAGGCTTTTTACAGCTTACACTGCAACCATTGGATCGGTCAAAAAAGTATAACATATTCCCTCTTATGATTACGCCCGGAAATGTGGATATGATGTTACATATTGTCACATTGAATCACTTTTTGATAGCGTTTATCTCCTCGTATGATTTAAATTTAGAACGAAGTTTAAATCAGTTTATTGCCGTCGCTCCATTTTCATGTAATTCACTGAATATAGCCTATTTATTTAAATCAACTCTTAAAAGAAACAGCTACATGACCACTTTGCGCAAGAATTACTGCGCAGTACTTGTTTATATTCAGTTATTTTCTTAGTTTTGACAGACGGGGATTAAAAGTAAAAGTCAACTCAGCTTCTTTTGTACTTTTCCACTTTCTGTAACTTTGATAAACTTAGCGGTTTTTCTATAGAAACAAACGAAAAACACATGCCTCATGCATCTTGATGTTGTTTGAAATCTGTGTAATTCATTTTTAATGTGGTCGAGTTTTATGAGTTCAACATTTGCCACAATCATCACCAGTGATGATTGTGGCAAATGAACTCATAAAAATGAAAATAATTCAAGTTAAAGTTTTATATCAGAATATCCGTTTTATTTAAATTGATTTTTCGATATTTACATTTTCTACATGAAATATGGTACTGATATTTTGCTACCTATCAACTTTAAGTTTTTCAGCAAAGACAGTAAGGTTAAAATTTTTTATACTGGAAAAGTTGTGTTGTTAACTGAAGCGTTTAGTTATGTTATTCAGAGAAGTGTGATCTATTAAGAGGTATTTTATAACTGAATCTATGAGCATAGAATTCTTTCCTAACTGAAACCACAGATCTTGTTCTGAAAATATGCAATAATAATTCCTTTACATTTACGTCAGCCATTATGCATTGAATTTTGAAATGTGACATACAAGTTCTTTATAGCGTTTATTTAAGAAGAAAGTAACTATTCCGTTGAAAATTGATTCTTCCAGAATTTATTTCTAAAAATCAGTTAATTATTGGTGATATTAATGCAGACATTTACAAAATCTATGAAAATGTTCCAGTAAATTAAATTGCTATTGGTTGCATTAAAATTACCTCACAAATAAATTTAATTCAGAATTTATGTCATTCAATATAGGGGAAATATTGTATTGCTAATATTTTCAATGTTGATAGACATTCAGAAAGTTTTTTAAACGGTTTCATGCAACAACTTCGATATTTTCCTTACGCATGAATATCGTCGCTCGTCTTATTTTTAAGCAAATAACTTCCGACGAAGAAATGCCACGGCAGATTTATTTTCAGAATCTGTCAAGCATTTTGTGGCATATCTTGGTGAGATGGACAAAGGCGATATGCAGCGAAGTGTAGAAAGCTTACGACATCAGCTAAACATTCAGAGACTACCCGTGTCACAATCAGCTAATGAGTTCGTTTTGGATTAGCTACTTTCGATCCTTCTGTACAACTAATCATTTTCCACTCCATTCTTAATTTACGTTTGATAATTTTGCAAATTATGTTAATAATTTCTTATAATGCATTTCTCTATACAAAAAAAATTAAACCTAAACTTCTGCAAAATTCTGTGAAAATTGTCCATGTATCTTTTATAAAGTTTCCTATCCCTTTTGTAGAGTTAATAGAACTAGTAGGAGAATTAAAATAGTCTTTCTTGAAGTTTAATTTGAAAACTTTTCTTTTGACTTGTACGAGATCACAAGACCAACTTTCAACACGAAAAGTACCTTTATTGATAGTGTTTTTAGCAATTATGAAAAGGATTATTGTTCATGTCCGTGCCAGCTTTATGCTTTTGGGAGACACAATATATATGCACATTATATTAAATATATAATTACTAAATGGCTCGTTGTATTCCTTGTTTTATATTGTCGTAACTGAATTAGTAAAAGTGCAATTATATGGAATTCAGTCAGAATGCTCCCTTAAGTACTCGATAGATAAGTCTATGAGTTAATTTATGTTAACAGTTGTTAGATTAAAAAGATCTATTTCAAATTAGGAAGATAAACACACATAAGCTTGTACACATCGATGGCTAAAATTGGGACAAAATTTTCTTAACTGAAATGAAATTTATTTTGCAAAAAAAAAATCTAAATTTTCCTTATAAGTATATAGTAAGTGCTGCGCCGTTTGATGAAGTTTAAAGTCATTGAAACTCGATTATAAAAGTAAAAATCTTATTGTATCAGATTCAGATTCAATAATAGCAGAAAAATTTGTGAGCAATTTGGTATATCCTATTCCACGACGATTTTTGTGGTTGCAGTGATAAGATAGTGGAAGTGAATAGTTTCAGGATGAAGCGATATATCGAAGGACAACAGGAAAGCGATCCACTAGTGAATCCAGTTGATAAACGATGCAACCCTTGGGCTGAAAAATCGAAATGTCAAATTCTATAATAGAATTTCAATGATAATTGTTGCAGATTTGTAACGCCTTGATGTCAAAAAATTCTTTGTAGATCTCGCACTTCCTTTGTAATCCGTTCATATTTTATTATTTTATATATAATCAGTGTTGGCCATTGATTAGTTCTGTTTGCCTTTTAATTATCATATAAACTATCTTTTGCATTTTCTCAAATTCATAAAATTTCAGGTGCTGATTATTCTCTGAAACTTATTTGAAGCTTTCATTCAGTCATATTCATTATTAAGTTATGCACTTTTTCCAATTTTCGGAAACCAGTTATGGTTTACTCTACAAAAAAAATTTAACTTATGTCCAATAAATTCAAGTTGGCACTGTATTCATATTTCGTATTTGCAATACCTTCGTTTTACTTGAATATCAGTAAAACATCAATTTCATATAAAAGAAGGATTTAAAAATTTCCCAAACCTATAAATGCGCCAATTATTGGTGTAATGTTAGCTTTATGCATTTCACAAATAAACATGAGACGCTACCATCTGAGCGTTTTGGATTGGTCTAGGAATAAAACGTTCACAAAAAGCAATAAAGTATATTATTTTTCGGCATTGGTAAGGTTCGGATATTTTTCTTTATTAGGTGGAAAAAAAAGAAAATTTGCAAAATCTAAAATAAAACAATTTTCTTCAAATCAGGCTTTCTTTGAATATGTACTGGAATAGAGTAATCATTCAATATGCAAAAAACAACGATATTATATAAAATTCTTGTGGCTGATGAATTTTTTTTGGTATTATAAGATTAAGTGGGTATAAAGCCATTAAAATGAGTTAAAATATTAAGACATTCAAGCTTTGCTCAGTTAAATCAAATTTAACTCAAATTTATAAATCAAATTCAAAAAGTTAGGTTTTGTGGTGACAATTATTTTATTCTTATGCAATAAAAATATTCGTTACAGCAATCGAAATGCATAATTTTATATAATTAAGCATACTTAACAACATCTACACTGATTTGAAATAATCTAATTATACATCATTTTGTAACGTGAGACAATATTAAAATTTGCAACCCATATAGTACATGAGAGACAGAGATATTTAATGTATCACTACAGTGAATCATTCATTATAAAACAGAAAACAACTGAAAAACTGAATACTTGTGACCACTGAACACCACGTTCATTATGCTCAAGATTTTATTTCTCATGAAATTCCTTAGCTTATCCAAGACGAGCAATATTTCTTATAATTCCACACCAAAAAGAATTATTCTTTGAAATTTTAAATTCTGAAAAAATTAATTTTCAGAAATGTAATTTTATCCGATTCTCACTTAGATCTCGAAAATTTTTTAAAGAGGAAATTAAAATTAATAGTGATCAATGTAGCAGGACTTCCCTTTTAGAATTTTTGTTCACTTTATATCGTACTTATGAATACAGAGCACAAATCTGCAGCTATAATTTGAAAAATATGAGAAGCTAAACGACTTACCTGTCTCATTACATCAGGTTTGCAAAGTATAAAGAAGAATTCTGTATTCAATTCTTGAACATTGACACAGCAGATCATAACAATTTTGAAAAAATTAAACAAGTATGAAAATACAAGTAATCCACGGGTATAAAAAAGAACGGAATTAATCACATAATAAGTTGCTGAAGCATAAAAGGAAAAATAAAGCTTGGACAGCATTATTTCATCTAACTTTTGATTGTTGACAACCTTAAACTGTTTGCTCAGTTATTAAAGAGCACTTTTATTGAAAACATAATTTACTAAACAAATTAAATAGCAAAGTAAAATCTATTTCCTTTACATACGAAAATTCAACCCACTAAATCTTTTAAAATGGATTTCTCAGCCATGAACACAGATTTATACAATTAGAAAAATTAAGTCTGGTACCAGGACAAAGTTCATTAATTTATGCAAAGTGCAAATGATATAAAGAGGAAAATTACTCTATTTATCCAAAACCTAGGACGAATGTCGCAACTATTTTAAGAGGAAAAATTAGTACGCCAGTACTGTGGATCATGGTGCGCATCTGTTAAATCATCAAATCGTGGCGGCGGTTGCGACGGAATCGCTTGATCAATTGTTGATAAAACCGAGACCGGTAGGCTCATACCTGCACCAAGACCTGTAGCATTAAAATTTCATTTCTTGTGACACGAATTTCTTTACTGGTCCGTTCTCATATATTGCAATAACTTCCAGAATGAATTATCAAATAGAAAAAACGATATTTTTTACAGCGCAGAGCAAAAGAAACAAAAATATTCATCGTGAAAAAAAACATATGATTCATATCTTTTCCTCGATTTTTACGAAATAGAACAAAATGTTTCGATGAGTAATGTTGTGAACTTAGTAAGGTCATACAAGCTGTGCCTTAGTGAGATGCAAAGAGAGGATAAAGCATCATTGATTAATTTAATAATCCTCATCAATCTATCGCCATACTCTTTCTATCTTATCTCTTTATAAAGTATCAGTTACTACTGTTTCGATAATGTACAGTATATATATATATACTGTATACTGTATACTATATACTACATAATGGCTGTCATTTAGTCGATGTGTTGTGCGGTCAATTTTGGCTTTTTTAGTGAAAAATGGACAATTTTTTTAATAAGGCATATTAGTGAGGACAATGATTGTGCCACAAGTAGAGAGGGTTCTCATCGCATACTTTTAAAAAACGACTGCCATAACCGTAAAAGATGATGTGTAGGAAACCAAGCGGCCGTTAAGATCATATCCACGTCTCTATCCCAAATTGATAAGAAAGAAATTCTTTCTGGGCAGTCAAGCGAAAAAACTCTTTTAATCACTGACAATTAGATTCAACACAGTTTTTTTTTTTTTTAAAATTAACTAAAGGACAAGCATACACGATAGTTTGATATGACAGAATCAAAATGATTGGGCAAGTTAGGGGGATGTTTTCTAACAATGTAATTTTAAATTTTGAAAAATGATGTGTTGAGAAAGTAAATTAAATTTATGAAATTTCCAACCAAGAAATATGTTCATGGGTTATCCGTTACTTGAAGAACAAATCAAATGGTCAAGTATCAAAGACAAGAGTTGCATATTATTGTTGTCTGAATATCTCATTGTGAAATTTGCTTGCAACTGCACATTGTTCCGGAAAACATGAGAGAAATGCTTGACACATACTGGTAGTACGGATTCTCGGGCTATTTTTTAGAAACATAATTCAAAATGAAGTACTCAATTGTTAAAAATGAAGTGTTTATAAAAAAATCACACACACCCAGTTACCTTTCTACCCATTAATTTTTACCTCTTGATAAATGACAACTACATTCAACTTCAAAGGCCTTTCGCCGACTATTTCTCACTAAAAGTTTTAATGCCGTCATAGGTTGTCGTACAACCGTTCTTTTTTGCCCAGATGTCCCAAAAGTCTTTTTTTTGAAAATTTTTAGAGGTTTTGATGATTTTTCTAAGGAATTAGTTTATGTTTTTTTTTTTAAATCTTCCCCAAATATTTGCTATAACAATCATTTTTTGTCTTTCTACTTATCTCTCTAATTCTGCTTATTTAATTCAATAACATTCCCATTTAGTGTTTTGTATTGGCTACTGTCATCTACTTTAATTATTTTAAGGTAATGAATATTAAGTTAATGATGTCGAGAAGTGAAAACAGAGCAGCACACAAATAACGTTAGCATTTAGATTTCGGTATTTAGTCTAAAATCAAAGCACAAAATATCAAAATTTCTAACTGTTAGGGTCAATTATGTTTCAAAAACTCTTCTTTTAAATCTAACTCTTTATCAAACATTATTCTAGAAAAGCATATTAAAATCACAAAAGCAAATTTATTGGTAAAGAGAGGAATTTTTTTGTCCTATATTGTTTCATGAAATTTTTCTAACAGTAATTTTTGTCATCTCATGAAAGTTGTATGACAAAGATATTTCTGACTAATGATAGTTTCAATTTTTCGAACTATGCAGAATTCTTTAAGCTTTCTGAATAAATTTTTGAAGATACAATTTAATAAAGTTTGACGTTCGGAAATTACTCTATACACCTGATCAAGTGAAAGGAATTATTCTTTTATTTAAATATTAAATATTGATGTAAAAAATAGATACAGGAAAAAATGATTTATAGTCAATTTCTTTAAAGATATCCGACGAACTCTAAGACTTCTATGAAGAATTGATAGCAAAATAAATTTTAGGAAACAAATGCACCATCCAGCATATGTGTTAGTGAACCATGCTAATGAATTTTTTGGACTTGAAAGTTTTAATGGATTTATGAAATTAAAACAGTTCAGAACATACCACCAACGTTGGAAATTGAAGAATGGTTCATTGTAGAAGCAAATGCCGGTGGTGCACCTGGTTGAACTGTTCGGGCATATGGCTGAAAGAGGAGTGATATTAAGTGCTAGTTCAGAACCTTCCAAACTGCTAGACAGTTGATTTGAATAAGTAGCTTAAGAATTCAAGGGAAAATTTTCTTTTTTAACCAGTGAATCGTTATTAACTATTTTGCTGAATATAAATCTATTGTGAGAGAGTGCAAGAAAAATCGGTTTGTATTGTTTGAAAATTTTTGACTGGATGATTGCCGAACTCAAAATTCTCGGACGAAAATAAGCAAATATTGCGATTTCGAATGCGTTTTTCTTTTTTGTTTTTGTAAGTAAAATTCGATAGTGAAGACTCACGTGAAAAGCATCGTAGGGTGACCTTCCAGTGCTAGAGAACATATGATAAGAACTAAAATCAGACGGATGTTGTGGCGTTCCCATTCCTAATCCAGCGTTTGCAAAGCTGAAACTTTATTATAATAACGCAGAAAAAACATCCCTACAAATATTGTACGAAATTTTATAGATTTATACAAAATTCAGGCTCAAAATAGACCTGGATGAATTTACCTGTAAGGATCCATTGTCGGTTGTGGCAAAGAATACATTTGTGTGCTGGATGGAGCGAAGCTGCTGCTAATAACCGGATTATTAAACCTTGTTGGTGTAGCAGTAGGACTACTACCCATAGGTGTACCCGTGCTTCCAGGATTTAACAAGCTACCTGGAAAAGTAGTTAAATTTATTTCAAAGTTACATACGCAACTTTGTACGCCGAACTTAGCGAATAGTACTTGCTCGAAATTGATGCAAATGAGTTCGTACAATCGAATATATTTTAAGCCAGATAATCTCATTCACTAGAAGTAGGTTATCTTGTAAAAAATGTCAAAATAAATCATAGTGGAGAGGAAGATGAAAGGAGAGGGAGAGGAAGAGAGAGAGAGAGAGAGAGAGAGAGAGAGAGAGCAATTAGGAAAATGCTCATAAAGGGGAAAATATGAGTAATATATTTATCGTATCTAAGCATATTATGCAACCAGCATAGAACTTTAACGCATAAAAAAAACATTCCTTTGTTGAACCTCGGTGCTTTTATCTAAGTTTTCTCTTATGCTCAAAAAAAAGAAAATTGAATTTCTCAGTCAAAGACTACGGTAACTGACCTTGCGTTGAGCCGGAACTACCGGCAGCACTATTAGCACTGACATTGGAATTAGCTGGTGCCATTGTTGTATCCATACCTGGCGGTCGTTTTTGGTTCCTTAGCTTTTCTTCACGACGCCATTTGGCCCTCCTGTTCGAAAACCATACCTATAATTGCTCATTTCCAGACAAAAATTAAAAAATAAAATTCTGCTACAGCTACCAGTGAATGTATTAAACTGAAACAGAAAAAAAGTGGATAAATATTCGATTAAATCCCCAAAACCAGCAGACTGTTTGGGAATTTGTCCGAGGCTTACAAGTTATTGCCGCCTGCCAAACTTTACTGATTTCTGTACACTAGACATGTTTTGCAGAACGATCTACCTGTTCCAACCAACAAATTATATGAGTTACTAATTAATATTATAGTAATGTTTACATCCTTTTATAAGAAAGATATACACATCTTGAAATATCTGCAGGGAGAAATATAAGGCTTTTATCTTAACTCTTTGATAAAAAGAATCATACATTTTTTTTTGCAGATTTTGTCCTTCATAGGTCTAATTTTATTGTCATGTGATGGAAGATTTTTCAGTGTTATATTTTTAAAAAGTAAAAAAATGTCGTTTACTACAACCTAATACCTGAATAAATATAAAGTAATTGAAACTTTGACCATCATAAAATTCGAACATTATTTAATACATTTTAATTTAATGAGATTTTCAAGATCGCTTTAACCAAAAAGAGATAGAATTATAATTAATTGCACTTGCACAAATAATCTGTAAGAGTATACATGATAGGATCTCACCATAAAATTGAATACATCTCATTCAACGAAATCATTAAATTGCGTAACTATTTTTTCTTTTAAAAATAATTTAACAAATGAATTAAATTAATTCTTTAAATTTCGACGTGAATTATAGCATATATGAATGCAGATAAAATTAGCCAGAAAATGGTGAATATATTTCATAATATAAGTATAATTGTATTATAAATAATTTATCTTATTCTATATATATAGTAAACTGCAAGTTACTATTTAACCAAAAAGTTTTTCTCACGTCCATGTCTGATTGCTTTATTTAATGCTTTCAGCAAACAAATTATTTTCAGAATTCGTCTTTTAAGTTTTCTCAGATTTCCAATTTTTCTCACTTCTTGTGTAAGTCAAAAAGATTCAGGAGAAAATGATAAAGGTAACATCAGATATTCACAATTACAAGGTTGAAAAATCAAGATTTCTGGATGTAATTTCTTGACTCGTACTTGAATTTATGATAACATCATGCATACATGATTGCTGTGATGATATCAAAAAAGGTATAAGTGGTAACTTGGAAAGGATTTTAAAAATTTTAAATCAAAGATACCCTTATTCTCTTTTTCCGTTAATTTAAATGCTCTCTATCAACACAGACTCAGAGAAGACTCAGAGATTGCCATTGTTGACTGAGCATTTCAATTTTTTGATGGGAGGGAATGAATCTTTCCCTGATGTCTTCGGGACATTTTTGATTTCGTCATAATAACCAAACCATGGCAACGCAGCAGATGGTGACGCGCGTTGTATACGGTAATGAAATATTGATACACTATTCATAAAATGGCCATCAGACTTTTTTGTCCAATTATTAGAAATTTATAACTATTGCTCGGTTATAAAAAACAAAACTTAGAAAGTACTTCATGAGCAAAGTGAAAGACCAAATCAATAATCTTATTTATGTGCTTCGATCAAAAGACATGTTAGTAAGACATGTTAGTAACTGAAGAACTAACTTAAGATAGTTAAGATGCCTTAAAATTTATTATTGTATGTGAAATTTGTTTTTGAAATTTCCAGTACTGATCAGAATCTCTCGCACAAGCATAATTATGATATTTTGCTTTTACTCTTCTAACTATGCCCCTTCAATATCAAATCTCTTTTCTAGCATATCAGCGAAAAAAATCTATGCAATATGCGTATGATAAGGGTGTGGTACATTTTTTGTCTTATGTAACAGAGAAAGACAAGCTTACACAATAAATATCAACATGTATACCTGTATACGCGCTTCAGGTAAACCGATCTTTGTAGCTAATCTTTCACGAGCAAAAACATCTGGGTAATGTGTTCTTTCAAATTCTGAAATATGTTGAGTATGACGAAAGGAAGAACCGGAAGGAGGTTGACAATAACAGAAATAGAACTTGGAGAATTATGAAATGGCATTCAAAATATTCGAGATAATTCAAATGATATGGATAACAATCAGTTTTAGTACAACCTCATTTAAAAATAATTGCTGTACAACTTTTTTAGCCCTTGCTAATTACTTTTTGTACTTTTAAGAGAAATATCAGTTTTGTATTTTCAGTAAAATCATGCTGGAAACAAAATGCAGAAAAACCTTTTTCCAAGGCTTCAATTTGTTCTTGACTGAAAGAAGTACGATTCCGCTGCAATTTACGTTTGAGCCGCATTCTTGCGGCAGCATCTTCGTCTGGATCATTAGGTGGCTTCTGATCCTCATCTGCAATAACTCATATGTTTCAATAGTGCTTGGAAATTTGCATGATGATGTTAATTTGATTTCAGAATATGTTTCAGGTTTGCAAGAATAAAAAGAATCAAAGAAAATGTTTCCATAATATCAACTTCTTGCTAAAAATGTCATGTTTCATACTTCAGTCAAATCTAAGAAGTTATTTTACACCTTTAGGAAATATGACAGTTCTTATGTTCCTTCGAAGCGAACACCATTCAGCATTACTCTCATGATTACTTCTAAGTTATCTCTCATTTTAGGCATTTGTATTTTCTGACAGTTTTTTTTTAAGTTTAGTTAATAATTTTTATTCCATTTGACTGAAGTTTTAGAAATGAGTCGAAAGGTAAAAGAAAAAGACGAAATGTTATATTACTTATAATATTGAAAAATCATGTTCATTATTTATATGAATTAAAAATGTTTATAATA